AAGGGGGAGGGAAGAGCCGGGTTCCGGGCTCGGCCCAGGGGGGGAGGAGTGGGGGAGCCGGGTTCCGGGCTCGGCCGGGGGACTCTGTGTCTCTGCCCAGCCTCCCGACGTCTGTCTCTCCCCGACAGGACATGTGCGTGGTGTGCGGCAGCTTCGGGCGCGGGGCGGAGGGGCACTTGCTGGCCTGTTCCCAGTGCTCCCAGTGCTACCACCCCTACTGCGTCAACAGCAAGGTAAGGCGGAGTGGGAGGCACTGGATTCCCCAAGCCGCAGTCTGGGCCCCCTGCCCTGGTGCACCTTTGGGAGCAGCTTTCCCCCTGCACCCGGGTTCTCCCGTCAGCTGCCATTTCACATGGGCCCCAGTGCTGCTGGGCCCCTTCCAGCTTGGGGCTGGGGGCCCTAGGGCAGGTCCCGTAGGCTGCCTGCCTGGGCCTTAGACACGCCTTCCTCTCTGCCCCAGCAGAAGTGCTCTGAGCTGGGTCTGGTGTCCTGGGCAGGGGTGTGACCTCTGTGCCCATTGATCCTCCCCCTCCCGGTGCCAGCCCTGTGGGGGGCGGGGTTCCCCTCCCGGTGCCAGCCCTGCGGGGGGCGGGGCTCCCCTGCCTGCTCCCTCACCGTGCCAGCCCCGCTGTGCTCCCCAGATCACCAAGGTGATGCTGCTGAAGGGCTGGCGCTGCGTGGAGTGCATCGTCTGCGAGGTGTGCGGAAAGGCCTCGGACCCCTCGCGCCTGTTGCTTTGCGACGACTGCGACATCAGCTACCACACCTACTGCTTGGACCCGCCGCTGCACACCGTGCCCAAGGGCGGCTGGAAGTGCAAGTGGTGAGTGCCGGAGCCGGGGCCCCGACCCAGCTGAGCGAGGGGGGGAGCCTGTTGGGCAGCAGCGATGCCGTGGGGCTTGCCAAGGGTGGGGGGAGCCTCTTCTGAACCCCGACTTGATCCATCTCTCTCTGCATGCAGTGGGGCCTGAGGTGGGCGTGCAGTGCGGCATGAGATGGGGGGGGATGGAGGGGGGAGGCGGGCAGGCCGGCAGGGATGCAGTGCGGCATGAGATGGGCAGTGGCTGGGGGGCTCTCGGGGAGGGGGGGGGAAGGGAAGGAAGGGGCAGGCCGGCGGGGGAGTGCAGTGCGTGGGGGGCTGTCGGAGGCATGGGCCAGGGGGCATGGAGGGGATGAAGTGGTGCTGCCGCTGACCCGTCTCTCTGGTAGGTGCGTGTGCTGCGTGCAGTGCGGGGCGGGTTCCCCTGGATTCCACTGTGAGTGGCAGAACAACTACACGCACTGCGCCCCCTGCGCCAGCCTTGTCACCTGCCCCGTCTGCCGGGTGAAGTACGTGGAGGACGACCTGCTCATCCAGTGCAGGCACTGCGACCGGTGAGGCCCAGCCCCCTTTCTGCCTGGGGGAGGTGTGTGTGTGGGAGAGAGCTAGCCATGGGGCTGCACCCGGCTGCCATGGCATCTCCCAGGGGGTCTGGCACCCCAGCCGGTGTTTGCCCCCCGGAGCCCACGCCAAGCCCCCTTGCTTCATGCAGTCTGGGCCTAAACACTGGCTGGTCCCTGGATCTGGGAGCAGCCTCTGGGAATTCTGGGACAGCTCCCAGTGAAATATGCAAATGAACAACACAGCCCTCCTAATCCCTGCTCCTTGGGCTGTTGGGTTCGATCTAATCCGCACTGGCACACACCTTCGCTGCTCCATAGGCCACCCGTGGCACCATTAAGTTTCAGAGTCAACAGCCTTTGTGAGGAGTCAGGTCAGTTCATGCCTCCAGGAGCTATTGTTTCAGGCTCTCTGCAGACTCTTGGGTGGGTCATTTGGTTTTTTTTGGAAAGGTCTCTGGAAATGTTAGGGTCAGAAAGGTGTGTAAGATCTGGAGCAGGGTTCTGCCACGGGGGGACACATGGGGCTGTGCTTGGGGCCCTGACCTTGCCGTAGGGGGGTCCAGCCGAGACACCAGAGTTGCTAGTCCCTGAAGAGCTCCCTGTTTGGGGCTGGGGCCTCCCGACAGAGTGATGTCCCAAGCACAGGGCGCTGGGAGGCTTCCCTGGGGCGCTCGGGGTTAATGTGGGGGTGCCTCCGGGAGCAGCAGAGCTCTGACGTCCTGGCCCAGTCCAGCGGATCCGACTTCCTGCATCGAAGGGAATTCCTGAGCCAAGCGCCTGTCCCCACGGGGAGGATCCGGGCCCCGTCCCTTACCCATCCCTGTCCCCCCAGGTGGCTCCATGCTGTGTGCAACAATCTCTTCACGGAGGAGGAGGTGGAACAGGCAGCAGACGAGGGCTTCGACTGCAGCTCCTGCCAGCCCTACGTGGTCAAGCCAGTCGGTAGGTCCCTGCGCCGGGAGGCAGGTGCTTGGGGGCGGGG